ACCATGGCTCAGAGGTACCCGTCCCAGAGAAGGAGTCGCTGAAACCAAAATCCCCCTCCTTTCGTGCTTCTGTCAGGCCACTCTGGGCTTATCCTTCCCTGGACCTCAAATCCCAGAGATTTTCATTTTCCACGAATTAGATTTTGGGTGGCACTGAAAATCTGATAAATGGGATTTTCTGCGATCCATTTGTTTGATCCAGAAAGTTCTGATAATAGCTCCATCATACGATGGGAACGGACTTGAATATCCCGGCTGGAGCCCCTGTCAACCTTCGCTCTTGGACTTTTCTGGCTCTGGGTATTGGGTTCTAACAGTGTGTGCCGCACAACCTAGCCCACTTTTCACTCGAGGTTCTCAAGTTCATCTCTACCGTCCAATCTGAAATCATGTTCGCTGTGGGCCCTCCATCGGTTTGCTGACCGTCACTAGCCATAAGAATTTAACCCTGCGCTGCGCCACATGAACCATCCATTTTTTGGAAAAATCCGTGCGAAGGACCCACAAACTTGGGGATTAGTGGATCACAAAATTTATCATAAAACTCAAAAATTATTTTTAAAATTATGATTTTATTTTTACCTAAATACCCCCTAAAATAATATTTACCTAATTATTTTTATCTTATCTCTAAATATAAACGATATTTAGAAGTTGTTTTTAGAAAAAAATAAAACAAAAGACCTCGAACAAATAAAATTTATCATAAAAGGTATTAAAAATTATAATTATTTACGAGACCAATATGAAAATATAAATTTAAATATACTAAAACGCTCCTAACTTAATTCCTTACATTTTTTCTTACATTCAAATTTTTGAAAAGAAAAAAAAAACTAAAGCTAAACCTGCCTGTCACTCCCACAATCATATTCTTTGTTTTTCTTTTTAGTTTTTTTTTCACGGAGATTTAAATCCATATCATCAATATCTTTTACTCTTGCAACTATTATATGACATCACATTTGAAATTTTTACTTTTTTTGTCATAAAACTAATTATTTGTTTTCTGTAAAAAAATCACTAATTCTCGTGTGTGTGGCAGTTTTTAATCTTAAATTATTTATTTTTTATTTTTCATTTTTCTTTTCCACGATAGCTGTGATAGAGAATTGCGAGTACTCGTAACGTTGATGTTTATGTAAAAATTATTTGTGATTTAACTATTATTGAGATTGAGTTGAGCCAATTTTAGTTTTTAATCTTTAATATTTATTCGTTTTTCTTAGATATTTGATATTTGAAGTTTGATGATGATGATGATTTTATGACTTTAGACTAGTTATTTTAAATCAGTCCTAAACTCTTTTGGCTTCTAAAAATCTGGAATTACAAATTCAAAAATCCTCAAAAAAATATAATAAATGTGTGAGTTATGAAATGAATAAATAAAATAAAAATGAATCCCAATTGATCAAACATATTATTCAATCTCTTTGAAATTTACTACATCGATATAAAAAACTATCAAATAGTAAATATGTTATACTATCCAAAAGACCAAATGATATAATTGATGATCTATATAAAGACTCCATATCTAATTCGGTTTGACAGGCAAACGCTATGTATTAAAAAATAATATGCTGTAATCAAAAATTAATTTTGTTTTTAATTATAAAAACCAATTTCATTTTAGTTTTGGTTTTTTATTTATTTTAAAGTATAAGCAATTTAATACTTTTGATTTTATATTTGGATATTTGGTCCCTTTACATAATTACAGTTTTTATGATCCTCCATAATAAATATAATTTTTTCTAGGTCTTTCATTCTAATTCTCTCTTATCGTTAACTTTTGTAGTAAATTTTCTATTTTATTTCTATTAAAAATTTATTTTAATAGTTAATATATTGATTTTTTGTTTTTCAAAACATCATTCCCTACGCAATAAACGTTGTAAGGATCATATTTTAATATAATATCTCGTCATCACAGATTCATTTTTTCATAATTCTTTTTATTATAAATTTTTTTCCCATCTTTTATATTTTACTCCCACAAATAAAGGTATTTTGAAGAAAAAAAACCTTCAAATTTTACACATTTATTGTTTTTAATTAATTTTAACTAATTTTTTTATTTGCGTAATTTAGTTCAAGATTTCTTAACTTTTTTTATAAAAAGAGACGGAGTACTTACTACAACTTTAGTTTTCCTTTTTTTGGCACAAAGGCCTAATAGAAATATCCTTCCGTTTTTTATTATAAGATCTTTTTAACTAAATTATACAGTTTAAAAAATAATTAAAATTAATTAAAATAATATGCAGAAAATGCAATTTTTTTTCAAATATACTCATATATATATATAGTAAATGAGAGAAAGTAACAGTGGATAATAAAAAAAATAAGTATTAAATACATTAAATTATAAGTAAAATAGGTAATAATGTATTAAATACTCAAATAAACTCAAAGATCTTATAAAAAGAGACAAACTTTTTTTAAAATTGAATATTATAATAAAGGACAGAGAGAGTACCACGTTACAGGGCATGCATGTTGTGCGAAACCATTTTTAATACCCATTTCAATGTCAATTTCAGTTAGTGGTGAAGACAGGGCATAGAGGTTGTTTTGTTTAGCTTTATATAAGTAATTTTATTGTATATAAGGTAAACATGTGAGAAAAATTTTATTTTGATTTGCATGCATTTTTTTAATTGACTGTAGAGATATCCCAACCCCACCGCATCATGCACACATATTTATAACTTTGTCTTTTGTTATGGTTGTAATATATGTTTTGTCTTTAGGATCCGAGGAGTAATTTTCTTGAATCGCATAAAAGTAGAGTTAACCGAGAGATTAAGAAAAGGACTATTGTGTTATTGAAACTTGTGAGATTAAGAAGTGACACTGATAAGGATTTTCCCCCTTTAATGGTCTCCCCTCTCTGATAGAAGCAGGGAGCAGTGAAAAAGATGATGGTGTCACCCGTACGCCTTTTTTGTCTTTGCCTTGTTGCACCGTGAATGTTAGTTTTCCTTTAGAATAATATTGCAGCTTATGCCACTGCCACACATCAATATTGAGTCTTCATTCCATGACTTTGGGCTGTTCATATTAGTTTCTCAGGAACGATTTTAGAGTACGCGGGAGGAATTTTGTTTTAACTTTTGTGAAAGCACTTTTTAAGTATTTTTTGAGATTTTCACACATCCCTCTAACCTAATATTTTGAGCTTAATAAACACGGAATGAATATTTTTTTAATCTCTTAATAAACTAAGGAATGAATATTTCATATTTTGTAATCACCCATGTGAACAGTGAGAATGATGCCAATGAAAACTTTGATATCAATTCATTAATCTCTTTAACACCGGTTGGAATGTAGCTACTTTCATGTTTGATGTTATGTTCTTCACCCTTCTATTTGGCACAGTTCTGCCTTGGCCGTGTGTTAAAATTTTATTTGTTGAATTTTATGCTCGTCCGTCCAATTGTAAGTAAAACCCAACAATCGGACGTATATGAGTAGTATGATTTAGAAATTTTTATTCACCTGTTTCAATTTGATTTTCTTTTTCAAAGAAATCTCGAAGAATTTGATTATTTTTATATTCTCGCTTGAAATCGTAAATAATAATTTATTTATTTCTAGTCAATTAAAGTTAGCTATGTCACTTGTTAATGTTGTTTTCTTTTATAAATTATTACTAAGAATATTATCATAATTTAACATGTAGCAATTTTAATCACGAATGACTTTCGAATGCAATGCCACAACCATGCAAAAATAGCGAAAAACTCAAGCGCTGTTTAGTTTTCTGTTTTTTAAAATAGTTTTTTCCTTCAAAAATGGAAAAAAAATTCATAATGTATATCTGGTCATGTGTCCGAATAATGAAAAAATAGAATAAAAGTACAATTTTACTCATAATTTTATTTTTTTAGACATATCCAGATTATTTTTAATGCAATTACCCATGATCTTTTTTTAGTAACTACAATCATATAATAAATAAATTTCTGAACAATGGAAACGATATTGTAAAGAAGAAATATCTTTCATTAACTTAAAATAACTTGCTTGATCGCATAATACAGGCATTGCTTAGTCATCTCTGTGAGGGCACTGGCAGGGTAAAAAAGGCAAGATTAGTTAGGTCAGTCAAGACCTGCAAAACAATTAAGAGTTTAATTAAGTCAAACCGATTTTATTAGAAAAAAATAAAAATCAACCATGCGTCGCGAGTTATCATTATGACATTATAATAAACAAAAAGCCTTGTATTATAAATTTTAGTTCCGATTACAAACTATAAAAGAAATATTTTGATTGCATACATTACATCCTATCTCTCACAAACATATCATACGTGTTTCCAAAATTATAAAATATTTTTTAATTCTTCAGATTAAATCTTGTTTATTTGGGTTTATTAATTTTAGAAACATTTTTTGCCATAAATTTATCAACTTGATCCCTATAATTTTATTTATTTTATAATTTAATCTCTTATTTTATCACATATATAATTTTATTTTTTAAAAATACAAGAACTAAATTATATATATAGATAAAACTATAGTAACCAAGTTATAACAAGTTAAATTTTAGAAATTCGTTACAATCAACTCAAAATTATAAAAATTAAATTATATTAAATTAAATTATAGAGACTAGCCTACAAACATGTCATAGCTGAAAGAACAAAAAAAAAAATTTCCGCAAAAAACTCCCAACAAACGAGAATGTCGAGCTCGATTTTCCTGACGGAGATGGAGAGCAGCCAGAGCTGACCCGAAGTCACTGTTTTCCTTTGTTTTTTCTTTTTTTTTTGCCTTGAAGTTACTGTTTCAGTAATCACGTAATATTGAGCACGCCTTTAAAATGGACACGTGTCTTGAGGCCCTCAGTCGCATAAAAAAAATTATTTAAACCCCCTTTAAAGCCATCTCATGTCATCTCTCCTCCGTTCTTTATCTTTCTTTCATTCGATCTGATTCGAAACCCTAGAATTTGATCCCCATCAATCTCCAGCTTCCACAGAGGAACCCTAGATTTTCTCGTTAAGCTCTCTCTCATTTACTCTAGAGCTGACCCCAATTCTAGCTTCTAAATCCTCGAGTCCAATTCTCACCCGAATTCGCGCATAGATCCTAGATCGTTACCCCAATTCCTTTCCAATTTTCCTACCCTCCTATCGGGCTTTACATCTGGAATTTTCCTCCGGAAATTAAGACATTGTTGATTCAATTATCGTGGCTTGCGCATGGGTAAGGTTCTCCGAGAAACCTCGAGGCCATCCTCCAATTCTTCATCCCCATCCCCGTCTTCTCCACCTGCAACAACCTCATCCACGTCGATCACCGAGACTGTAAGGGGTTCTCATCAGTTCAAGATCACGGGTTATTCGTTGTCAAAAGGAATTGGGATTGGGAAATACATAGCATCTGACACGTTCTCGGTCGGTGGGTATGAGTGGGCGATCTACTTCTATCCTGATGGGAAGAGCGTCGAAGACAATGCTACCTACGTATCGCTGTTTATCGCGCTGGCCAGTGAAGGCACAGACGTTAGGGCTCTTTTTGAGTTGACACTTTTAGATCAGAGTGGGAAAGAGAGGCACAAGGTACATAGTCATTTTGAGAGAACGCTCGAAAGCGGACCGTACACCTTAAAATACCGTGGTAGCATGTGGTAAGTTGGCTTCCTGTGGGTTTTCCTTTTTTCTCTTGGCCTTACCATTTTCTTGATTTCTATTTTTCACCGTTCCCCCTTTCTTGATTTGGGCCATCAATAGATACCCTGAATGCATACATAGGCCAAGTTCTTGATTTGCATGAAAAGCAATTAACTGAGTTCTGATGCGTCATTGACTGTGGAATGCGTTGTTTATGAGAGTAAATTGAAGAGTTGTTGGATTGATGATGTTGAAAATCTTAAACATGGAACGTTTGGTCTCTATAATGAGAAGCAAGTGCTGGCACTGAGCTGAGCAAGGGGGTGTTCTTTCCCCAACCTCAAAAAAAGGAAAAAAAAAAGAAAGAAAAGAAAAACAATCCTGATGCTATTTTTACTATACTCTGAATTCTTCCCCTGATACATGACTAGTAGGCATGAACCAAGGTTACTTGTGTCTATGTATATTTAGGATGTTAGGAGCACTGCGCTTTAAAGTTCATGCGAGTTATTTATGAGGCCTTTCACCTCTGGAATGCAGCTGTTAGCATTCAATTTTTTTCATAACTCATAAATTAATTTTTGACATAAAAAAATTCAAAATCTGAATGGAGTATCTATATGATTCTGGTGTTATGTGACTAATGGACCAAGATTTTTGGAACGATGCAAAGTCCGGGGGGTGAAATTTCCTTTAATCCCATGCTTGAAACAAGTATAGTTGTGATTCTGAAATGCTGTGAATCACCAATGAAGGCGATATTAATTTCACCACCCGGTAGGCTTCGTGTTATTGTTGTCAGGAAAGTGCAGGAGAGGGGTTTAATGTGATTTGAGAAGTATCGTTTGTTCTGGAAAGACCCTTTGTTTTGTAGCGCTTGTCAGTAAACCCAAACTTAGTATAAAGCCTTCAGATTAGGTTTGTGTTGGTTTAGTTTTAGTCTGCTACCCTAAGTTCACGTGGCGTGAAAAATTTTTGTACTTCAGATTTTTTTAATGAAAATATCTTACTTGTACCATTTCTCTTCCTCTTCTGAATGTATTTATGGATATATGAGCGAACATCTAAATGCTTGAATTAAGATGTGACTGGACTAAATATTCCACGATGTATATAGAAGTGTTTATGAGAAGATGATATTTGGTAAATATTAATTTATTGATAATGGTTGTTCAGGGGTTACAAGCGGTTTTTTAAAAGAACAGCTCTTGAGACGTCAGACTACCTTCAAGATGATTGCCTCTGCGTTAACTGTAGTGTTGGTGTAGTGAGGTCACACACGGAGGGCCCCAAGATCTACTCCATAGCAATACCATCTTCTAACATTGGACAGCAATTTGGGCAGCTATTGGAACACGGAAAAGGAAGTGATGTGAGTTTTGAAGTTAATGGAGAGGTTTTTGCTGCTCATAAATTGGTACTAGCAGCTCGTTCACCCGTATTCAGAGCCCAACTTTTTGGTCCTATGAAAGATCAAAATACTCGGTGTATAAAAGTTGAGGACATGGAAGCTCCCGTTTTTAAGGTTTGATGAAATGCTTTTTGGCGCTTCCGTTTGTTTAGAAATTGGTTATGATTTTACTTAGCCAAGTTATTATTTAGTTATTTTTATCTGTTTTTATTTTAACTGAGGGTTACTTATCTTTAATTTTTTTTTTTTTAAAGTTTGTATGGATCAAGATTAATTAAGTTTCTATTTCAATCAGAATATGGCTAGGTTAAGTATTTTGTGTAAATTAAAATAGAGTCATCTTGTATTGATTGGAATAAAGTTGTCCTATTCTTTTAGAGTTTCTTGTTTTAGTTTGAGTAGAAATTGGTAATCTGTTTTGAAATTTATGGATGTAACTTTACTTCTATATTATAGAAAGAGGTGAGAAGAAAAAACTGACTTTCTACTATAGGTGTTGCAGTGTGGTAGAAGAATATGGTTAGGATGATTATTTGCATCTTACACGTGCTGATTGTGCTTGCCTGAAAATGGCTTTTGGGTTTTTTCGCTGCTACTTTTGTTGATTTGCACCATCGTTTTGTGCTTCCCTTTTTATATTTTTGTTTGTTACTTGTTTATTATGCTAGTACTTCTCTTGATGAGCCTTGGGTTTTAAATTAAGGTCTTTGATGAGCTTTTCTAGTTAACATGCTTTTCTTCGGAGAATAATGAACGCTTGGGGTGATATTTTGATGCTCATAGTTCCGTCACTATTTTTTGTCTTCACTTTTGTCACATCCTTTATATATACTAAACAAAAGTGGATGTTGTATTTTATGAGATTGCACTGTAGGCCCACCAACAGCATATGAACGTCATGAAAAGAAAATTAATTGTACAAAACATTACTTTGATCAGTCATGAATATGATGCTAGGTGCACATAGATATGGGGTCTTAATACTTAGTTGCTTAGTGCATTGGTTCCATTTTTTCAAAAGGTTCTAGTTGGCCCACTTTTGTAGATGTATAGTACTGTATTTAATGGGAGGAAATCAAATCATGGCAGAAAAGTGGTGGCTGGCAGTTGGCTTATTAATTGTTTGTTCTACACGATTAAAGACTTATAATGGTTGGTGGGGCTGCTTCATTTGCTTTCTGAGTATAAAGCATGAAGTGAGGTGCTGTAAGAGCATTGGTGCCCTCTTGACATTTAGAATCGGTGACTTGGGCTTTTTGGTCTGGGGAAGAAACTGCTGGATTTTATGTGTCATAAATTCATGGAAGGCAGTTAGTCTCATTTCCTAGATGCTTAGTGATGCCAATTCGATTTTAATTTGAGGTCTATAAACATGATAGGATGGTTTAGGTGAATTAGTCGGTACTTAGCAGCTTAAATATGCAAAGAAAGGAAAAAAAAAAGAGTGTTCTTGTTTGTTAATGGCATTACATGCTAATATTTTTGTTTGAGAAGGAAGCATTCTATTTGTGCCATTTGCTTATGCATTAATGCACATCAGATATGAACCCATTCAGGGTTAAGATTTTTTTAATTTTGTTTTGCTTTGATTTATTCTTGTTTTGGTGCGTTTTCTTAGCGATGTTGACTCAATGCAGTATCTGTATAATAATGACATGAGTTTTCTGTCTAATGAAGCATACCATTTACTAGCTTTGCCATTTTTGGTGGAGAAAGTTTACGTGAATGACTTGTCTGTTGCATCCTATCATGTTACGCTTTTGCAGGCATTACTTCATTTCATATACTGGGACTCACTGCCTGACCTGCAAGAGCTTACTGGCTTGAACTCAAAATGGGCAACTACGTTGATGGCTCAGCATCTGCTGGCTGCGGCTGATCGGTATGGTTTAGAGAGGCTTAGGCTGATGTGTGAAGCCAGCCTTTGTGAAGATGTTGCAATAAACACTGTGGCCACAACTCTAGCTTTGGCTGAGCATCACCATTGTTTCCAGCTGAAAGCAGTCTGTCTCAAATTCATTGCAATGCCTGAAAATCTACGAGGTGCGGTTTAATTCCTCTGAATTTCTATATTTTGCTACGTCTAAGAAAAGACGGGTGATGTATGGTAGATGATGTGGTAGCCTATCCGGCTGCAAATGTATATAGCCTTGGCATTGACAGTCTTTTCAAATGTAATAAATGCTATCCACATCTTAACCACAAAAGAATATCGGTTGCTGAATTCATTACAAGAGTGATATTCGTTTATAAAATTGGCACGGTCCAAATCTATTGTAGTAAGATGTTTGTTTAATTTCATACTTCAATCATAATTAAGGAACTAAGGCATCTCCATTTTGTTTCACAGCTGTGATGCAAACTGACGGTTTTGACTACTTAAAGGAAAGTTGCCCATCTGTTCTGACCGAGCTATTGGAGTACGTGGCTAGATTTACGGAGCATTCAGACTTCATGTGCAAGCATAGGAGTGAGGCAATTCTTGATGGCAGCGACATAAATGGTCGACGGGTGAAGCAAAGACTATAGTATGATTGTGAACGCTAAATATCTATCTGTACACCCTCTCCTCTCCGATAAAAGAGAGAGAGAGAGAGCCATAGATAGAGATATATGATAAGCTCTTGTAGGATTAGGGGCAATTTTTAATTTTTTCTATGTCTGTCTGTATTTTTTTTAACGCCTAGGAGATGTAAATGTAGTTTGTTTTGGTGGTGTTGTTGGTATGCTTCATCTGTAATATGCTTAGTTTTCTTTCTACTCTAACATTTGTCTTTTGTTATTTTTCTTTTATTGGAGCCAACTCTGTTGCTGATTACTGCTATGTCTTTGTATCTTCTTTTCCTCTTGCTTTTCAATGTTTGTTCAACCAAGTTTTCTTGCTTATCTATTTTTGAGAATGTCTTAGCAGTGCACTTAGATAAATTTGATCGAGACATTGGTACTCCAGAGAATGGATTGAATTGATTGCTTACTGGCTTCAAAACATTTTGGGCTAAATAAATATGGCTGGGGTAGATGGGAACGACAGATCCGGTCATGGCAGAATGGGGTTGCAAGCTTTCAATCTACAGCCTGCAAATTCCTGAACGATCATTTCCTTTGGTTGCTTTCTGTGTACTCCACTCTATCTTGTTCAAGCGCAAGTTCGGGGATTATACAGAGATGCCATTCGATTCAGATGTTACCTCTCAAACTGTCTTCAAATACATTAAAGTTCACTTTCCACTTTAATATTAACATAAGAAATAGAATTTTTAAGTAATTGACTTATTAATGATACTCATTTGATTTTTAATGTAAGATTCAATTAACTAATTTAAAGAGATTAAAGGTACTGGTTAAAGTTGTTAATATGATATTTTTTTAAATTCTCTATATTTTCTTTAATTTCTTCTCTCCTATTGTTATGAAAATATTAATAGGGTTAATTTAAAAAAATTGACAAATATATGAAATAGGTTTTATATATAATTAATATCAATTTTTTAATTAAGTCTTATATTAAATATTAGAGGAGTATGATTTATTTTGGACTCCATACTTCGAAAAAGTGGTGTTTCTATTTACATATTTTTTATGTATTATTTTTGTCAATAATTTTAAAAAAAAAACCTACAATAATATGATGCTGGGGCAATCTCGTCAAAAATAAATTAGCATGAATGATATTCATTTGCTGGGTTGGGTGCTGTGGGGAGTAGGGACAAACAGGGAGTCAAGTAACGCCCGCTAGTCGCAACTCGCAAGCAGCGCCTTGCCCTCAATCCAGGGAGAAACAACTCACGGTCTTGGCCTCTCCTCTCTTCTGCCTTCCTCTGGTCAACTTCGTTTTATAGCTCTCGAAAAATGGTATTTTTCTTTCTGAATTTATAGATTCGCTAGGTTTCCCCCTCCGCTCCCCCAAAAATTTCTTCTGTGTCGTATTTCTGTGAGATTCCTTCATCCTTTCTGATCTTGATGGGCGTTGCTTTGGTCTAGTTGTTCTTCTCCTATTTCAAGGACTTGGTGGGCAGAGAAGTAACTGTGGAGCTCAAGAACGATTTGGCTATTCGAGGAACACTGCACTCGGTGGATCAATACCTTAACATCAAGCTCGAGAACACTCGTGTTGTCGATCAAGACAAATACCCTCACATGGTATGCCTTTCTGTTTTAGGTTTCAAAGGTTTAATCTTTTTATCAAGTTGGAAAGAAGGATTTGCGATCAATTTTTGCTTTGCCATTTTAACTGTATTCATTTCTATGCTTAGAAACTCCAGAGTCTGTCTTGGCCATTTAAATTGTATTACAAGGTTTAGATTTGTCAAGATTTACTTCTTGCTCTTGCCTGTGTTGGCTAATCCCGTTGTAGACTAACGTCAAGCTTTTTGGATGGATGAACCGTGTTGAAGTTACTAATAGCGTTCTAGGATTCAGTAGAATGCTTAAATCTGACATTTAATACTACCTCCGTGAGTAGATTAAGAGTATTAGTTAAGTTATAAGTGTTGTTTTTTTCTAAAATATGCTTGCTAATCATGTGTACTAGTTGGAACTACCATTTGGTGAAAATTTTAATATATGCAATTACTACCAGAATTATTTTAGGAAAAAATGAATAAATATGAAAGACAAAGTGGATTGAGATTTTATACTTAGGATCAAATTGAATGTCAAATTAGTTTTTAATTTTATATTAAGGATTTAAGGTAGTATGAGGTTTAATGAGAGACCAAAAGTTTACATTGAAGTCCTGGGCTGATTTAGCCGATCAATTTGCTCATATTGGGTTCCCTATGATGAAAAATAATATTTCAGGAGAGTCAAATAATCTTGAACCGCAATTAGCATGTACCAATCAAAGGTGACGGGGCTACTGTATGTTATGCTGCCAACGTGTACTGTTCTATGTATGAGCAGAAAGAGGGATAATAGTGCTCTGCTATCAAACTGTAGACAGGGAGAGTGCAATATACTTGGACAGTGTATAGGTTTTAGCCAAGATAGGAAAATCTCGAATAAACCAAATGTTGCTCAATTGCTCAGTTGTATGCCTTTCCCTGTGTCTGGGCTCAACTATTTGTGAATGAGATTGAATTCTGTTCTTTAACTGGAATCTGTCTTACTAAAGAGTGGTCCTGTTGTTGCTTGTAACTCGCTTCCTTATGAGAAGATGAAGATGATGATACTGGGAACGTTCTAGCTTGAAGTTTCCATGAGTTGCCTTACAGATAAGGCTGGTAACTCTGAAATCAATGATTCTTAGTCACTTTGGCACCATTTATCATTCATTAGGTTGGGGACGTAGTTCTTGCAATTCTATTTTTGTGGATGTTAAGAATGCCTAGCTAAGTTATCAACTATGATCATTGGATCTTTTGGCTTGTCGTCCACACTGAGGGTATAAGTTTATAAAGAAGCTGAAGTACAAATTGAGAATTTGCAATAGGCAGCGGAGACACTAGGATCAGAAAGAGGGACATCCTTCAAGGTATAGATAAGGTTTCAGTGACAGTGGCAGAAGTGTGACTCTCTCATAAATGGGGAGATATAATTTTGTTTAGAAATTCAGAAACAAACAATCTTTTATTCTTGCGTTGTGAAGCGGCTTGGCATATTTTGATTATATCTTTGTATTCTGCACTGGGAATTCTGTGTTTTAGCTGATAATGATCGCTAAGATTATGTGTATTTTTTCCTTCAATACTGAAATGAAAATTTGGAAAACAAAAATCCTGGACCAAACATATTTTTGAAGTTTAGAATTTTAAAAAATGAAAGCTGATTTTAGCACATGAAAGTAGAGAACAATTTCACCGAACATGTCCTAGCTTATCAATTTCCGATTTGTGTTTTTTTGCTATAGGAGAAAAGAGCGAGTGAGTGATAAATTCATTGGTTGACTAAGGATATTTATAAATGGTTCTTTGGTAAGTAGAGGAAAGCGGGTAAAGCGTTATGCTCCTGGTGGCATGTGCAGGATGGCAATACTGTCGGGAGTCTGGACTATAACTGACTTTACCTTCGGATACTTGTACTCCTTATCGGGTTGCATATTGACCGCCGCCCCCCCCCCCCCAACAGGGGGGTTTACACAATATCTATTAATAATGGTTCTTTTCCATTATGTTCTTTTAATCCACTTGTGCTAGATAGACCTTCCAACGTTTTTTTAAGGGATATATTGGACATCGAGTTTGTGTTTGCACATTCGAAATGTTTAGAGAGGTTTATCATTAAGTTTTAGTCAAAGATGTTACTCGTGTGTATCTTAAAAGTTCATGCAAGTTATGTGCAATTTAGCTTGTGTGTGTGATATTTTGATAAACGGATCTTTGCTTCTCTGTGGTTGAAAGGTTTTACGCATCATGTCTCTCAAATGATTGTGTGTTGCGAGCTAGAAAAGAAAATTGGCTGAATTATTAATGAACACCTACCAGTAGTTATGTGTTTTACTTTGCACAGTTAGAGCAAATAATCATTGAGGCTGTTGTTGTTGTTTTTTTTTTTTTCCCCCCCGGCCAGCATCAGTGTGGTTATTCCATTTCATATTTGATGTGGATGTGTGGAAAAGTTGCTACGAAGTCCTTGTTTATAATTCTCCCAAGAAAATATTGCATAGTTGTCAAATTTTTTTGGTGGCGAAAAAAGAGTCAATTTTTTACCGACATCATATTACTTCGATTGCTATGCATATGACTTTACCAGATGTCTAATGTTAACCTCATTTTCCTACATCTCTCCTCATGGCTGTGCGGCTGTGCTTGGTGTGCATATAACGTGTTGCTGTTTGATCGCAGCTTTCTGTAAGGAACTGCTTCATCAGGGGGTCGGTGGTAAGATATGTGCAGTTGCCTCCAGAAGGAGTGGACGTTGAACTTTTGCATGATGCCACAAGGAGAGAAGCTCGTGGCGGCTAATTTATCTAGTTAAGGTCTTCTAATGAATATTGCATGACTATTTGATTCGGATGTGATCCACAATAGTGAGGGAAACTTTTGGCTGAGGAAGAGACATTCATACGACTCTTTAGCTCGGTTCATTTTTACTGTAACAGAATTCTTAACATTTAGCGTTTACCTACTGTTGGGGCTTATCAAGCTCTATGTTGTTTAAGGCAGTTCAATTCGTGGTATTATCCTGCAGGTGCGGGCAATCCAATTCCCAGTACCGAAGGGCGTTGCCTGATCCAGCAATACTGCCATTATCTCACCCTGCTCCATTTGGTTGCAGTATCCTATTTTCCCCCCACGGCATGTTGTTCTCCAGTTTAGGGGTTGCATTGATGGGGGTGAGGAGGGGAAGTTATGATTCTTAAGAACCGAGTTTTTCAGGAAGTTGGGCTTTTAATCATTTACAACTAGAGAAACAACTTAATAGAACTCAAGGAAGTTGCTGATGTTAAGTTAAATTAAAAACATGAAAATATCATAAATTATGAAGGAAAAAAATGAAACAAGTAACCAGATATGTATGAACTTTTTGAAAAGTTAAGCGTCTGGGAACTATCCATCCAATTAAGCAACGAAGTTAAAAAATATGTTAATTTTAAATTAAAGATGAGTTAGTGTTAACAACAACTAAATTTGCACCCTCGCTGTTTCTTAATCACTCATCATTAGAGTAAATAATTATTAATATATTGTACGATACTATAATGTTCATAATTTGGGTACTGCATAATTGTATATTAAATTTCTAGTGAATGGGATTAATTTGAATGGTAAAAGAATAAGAATAAATTGAAAATTTTGACTACAAAATAAAGACATGAAGACGTATGGATTTATAATTCGAGAAGGTAGATATGCTATGCTCCTGCTCCTATAAGATAGAATGCTATGATAAATAGATTAAAATTAAAGAATAATAATATCACACCAGACCTAGATATAGTTTAATATTCTTATAAATTATAAGATAGGTCTTATATTTAAAATTGGAGAAATATTATTTTGTCCCGTTAAGTATGCGGTAAATGTTAAATAGTTTAATATCATTTTGCCTTTTATAGAAAAAGATACTATAGACTAAATTCTGTACCTGACTTTTAAAGCATAAGATCGCGAGATTCCAAAGCATGTATTAATTCAAAAATAATTAGATACAAGATAATTAATAAATAAAAATTTCTTCATTTGATTGGAAAAGGACAAATGAGCGCATCTCAAGGAAAGCAATAGTTCATAATTTTTGTTCAAGTTTGATGTTTGCTTTGGCGGGTTTTATCCTCTCATGGTATTTTGTTTTCTCCTTTTCTTAGTATCTGATCTTTATTATTAGATCAAATAATGAATAATTCAGATTTCATACTTTATAAAGTTATTATTATGAGATTACATAAATTGGAGAAAAAAGGTAAACGTTTGCTTTTTAAAATATTAAATCTGAACCATCTATTATTTAATTTAACGGTGGAGATGAAATTCTGAAAAAAAAAGAAAAAGAAAAAGAAAAAGAAAGATTCTGAGAGAATCCAAACTCTTGTTTCTCAAGTTATTAAAACTGATAATTTAAGGAAGTTAATACTTAATACAACACATATTTATTATAATTAAATAACTTAATTAATTTTTTTATTTAACTCTTGTATTAAATATAGGAGGAGATAATTATTTTTTTTGGGTTATACACAAGAGGGGTAATAAATTTTAAAAAGAACGCAGTTATATAAATTAAAATTAAAAAACTTAAATATTTTTTAATATTTTAATGTTATTGAAACGTATGGAAAATTTGAAGAAATGTGTGAAAAAAAATACAGAACAAGAAATAATTTTACAAAAAAGCACATTGTTTGATGCTTAGGAATAGTGTGATATGTAAATATATAATCGATTAAAGATTAAAGATGATGGCTTTTGTACATTATACATAATTTAAAAAACAAGTCATATTATGTATATGTGAGCATTGTGTTTTACATTAATATTAATATCATCTCAAAATAGAATATAAGAATAAGAGATTTTGCATCATTTATATAATTATATGGATATGGATTACATTATTGTGGGCCACACTAAATTTTTGCAGCTTCGAATGATCAAAGTTTGTTGTTTGGCGTTATTCGAGGAAAGAGCGGATGCGTGACTGTTTTACAACCAACAGGAACAACAATACAAGGCTTCCCTATCATCTTCCATAATCATTTCTCACAGTGGTGGTAGTGTTCTCAAATAATGGAGTTATTTTTCAGTAATGCATGCAAGCTCTGGAAAAAAGCTATGTTCTTTTAATCATTTTTTATGTAGTTCCCAAATAATATTTTAAATCTTCCCATAAATGTAATATATTCTGTCTATCCAATCAGTCATACCGTAACGATTGAGATAGTGTTTAGCATTTATTTAAAAAATAAAAACTCAAAAGCGAGAGCTAATAGGAAATAAGTTAAAATTTCGGGGTAATTTTCTCGAAAACCCTGATTTTTAACTTTCAAGTTCACCAACTTAACCCAGAGCATGCAGCCTGGTGCGTCTTCTTCCATCGGCTATCATCGTTTTGCTCACCCATCAGCTAGGTTAACTTAAGGTTCGCAGAGTTGCAGTTAGTCTTCCTTTCTACTCACTCGCGTTTCAGCGTATTTTTCGTCCGATATTGGTAGTACATCCATTGATTAGTTAGAATTCCGCACTTTCTCGATAGTTAGTTTACTTCGTTCGTAGTTCTTCGCGGGCATTCGTTTTGAACGGGATGGACACTCAAGAAGACCCTCCTGAAACACCAGCCAAAAGGTCAATTTTATGTCCTTCTTTGTACATTTGTCTTCCCAGGATGATCATCATGTTTTATTTCTGAAAATTATGTTGCAAGCTAGCCAATCAAGTAATGTAGGAAAATATCAGCCATTATAGTTTGTTTGACTTGGGTAGTGAGTTCATTATTAAATGGACATCTACAGAAAGACTTCTCTGAATTGTTTATGAACTTAGATGGGCAATTGCCATGGCAAATAGATTTTATCTTGCTCAGACTTGTATTGGAAGTAAGGGAAAGTCATAAAAATGAAATCTTGCCAATATTTATCTTTCATTACTCGAATCAATAAACTTCCAAGGGACGGTTATAAAAATAGACTCAATCATTTAGAAGTTTTATCATGTAATCCTACCATACTTGCAGCCTCAGCTCATTTGAGTTTTGTTTTCCTTTTTTTTTTTCTCCCTCTTTGCTTGAATTTTTTAAAGGGTACCTCTCACACAATGAGGGGCACTACCTTCAGTAAGGATTGATTTTGAATGTCTGCTACAACTTTTGATACACCTTCTCTGCAGTCTCTCTCAATTGGATTCTGGATCATAGTAAATGGGTCCCTCTTCAATCTTTTGTCTTTCTAAATTGTTGTCATGTGTTGTCTGTGATGGATTAGAGAGGATGTACCAAAAGTTGCATCGAACATTCAGAATACTAGAGAGGACTAAGACGCCATAAGGTAGTGCCTTTTGCATTCTTTCCCTTGCAAAAGGCATGCCTTTGGCACCTTATTTATACAAAGCAATCAACTTATAAGCCCAATTCAAGAACTATATAATTAGGAATAAGATAAAATAGGAAAGTATAAAGTCAACCTGAAAGGTCTAGCCCAGCCTTTTATAATTAAGAGAACTAGATATTCCGTCCTGTGTGTTACGTGGAAAGAAATTTTTGAAATAGATGAATATTATACTCACATTATCTCTCCATTATAGTCAATCCGTCACATTATTTCTTAATCACAATCAATAAATCAACAACTTATTTATTCTTTAAAATGTCACATTGCCCACAGTACAATGCACATCGCTGATGTTGATATCATTTATAGTGTTGGCTTCCCAAAATTAGATATATAGGTAAGGGAAAATAGTAATTCTTAATTTGAAATAACAAAGCATTAGGGGCAACCACAGCCATATGCTAGTGGCAGCTCAAGATTGGAGGTAGGAGTTTGGAATAAGAATGACATTCCAGTTGGAATTTCTTAATATTATCAAAGAATCTTTTTGAACTTGAGCATTGTATTTTATCTTCTGTTATTGGTTAATGGCTTATGACTGTCACGGTCACAATATTTATCTATTTTTGGTTTCTACGTCATATTTTTTCAGAATTTACATGTCAAATATTATTCCAAATTATTTTATCTATTTTTTGGGTTTATGTAGCATATTTTTTAGTTTCAAGTGCTTTAATACCTGGTAGTCGACTCTTTACAGGCACAAGTGCTCAGCCTGCTATAGGCAATATAAGAGAAAGGAACATCTCATTGAGCACATGAAAATTTCATACCACTCAGTCCATCAGCCTAAATGCAGGGTCTGTCAAAAGCACTGCAAATCTTTTGAATCTCTGAGGGAACACCTTACCGGTTGGTTATCATTCTGTATTCAATCTGATGTTGGTATTATTGTTTGGATTACTCAGTGTTTATCTTTTTATGCTGACTTTTGACCTTGGCTCCATTTATTAGGTCCATTGCCGAAAGGAAATTGTTCCAAGCACTTCTCTGAACATGGTTGCCAACTTTGCTTAAAATTATTTGATAGCCCCACAGCTCTTATCGAGCATAAAGAGATGTGTTACCTATCTGCACCCACTCCTCTGGTAAGTTGGTTACTTGATTAGTGGCTACTTAGAGTGCTTATATACATTTTGTAATTTTTTTTTTTTATATAGGCCATAATTTACATCAATATAGTGAACACGGTTAGCTGAAGAAACTGCACTCAATCGGTGTTTCTAGTCTTCTTGATTTGATTTTGTGTGGAAGTATGCAGGGAACAGAGGCATTGACCTATATTAGATCCCAAATGCATCGTCCAGATTCTCCTGATGAAAACCTCACTGGAAGGCACCCTGGAGCAATCGCAATTGATTGCGAAATGGTTGGTGGTGGAAGTGATGGATCATTAGATCTTTGTGCTAGAGTATGCATGGTCGATGAAGATGAGAATTTAATTTTTCACACCTATGTGCAGCCTCAAATCCCAGTTACTAACTATAGGTACTTCTGAGTTGCGTGTTCTCTTTTTATTATCACAGAGAACAAGTGATAAAAAGTACTATTGCTGGGGCTAACTGTGCTTGAAATTTTCAGATATGATATAACTGGGTTGACAGAAGAGCATCTTAGAGATGCGATGCCACTTAAGGAAGTTCAAGACAAGGTATTGCAAATTCTGTACAATGGAGAATCAATTGGCAAAGTTAGATTGGATGGAGGAAAGGCCAAGCTTCTTGTGGGGCATGACCTAGAACATGATTTGGACTGCCTGAAATTGAATTATCCTGATCATATGTTGAGGTAGAAGGGACATTCTTGACTCTTGAGCGATTTGTTACTGCTTATTTAGTTTTAAAGATTTCCAGTTTTTCACAAAAACTGTGTCTTTGGATTATATATGTATGTATATATTCCTCATACAGTAACCTTGCTTCTATCTGTACCATCTCAAAATATTTTATTTCCTTCGAGAAGCAAAGCCTTCTGTCATGAAGAAACTAAGAATCTCTATTTTGTGTTAAATTTTAAGTCACTTGATACTGCATTTCTTACCCTGGGCTTGGCATTTGTGGTACCTATAATATAGTCTACCCCAAACTTTAGGCTGGTTATGCTGTGCCGTTTCATGCCCTAACGCAATATACAAGTGATAATGGTCAGAAAATGCATCTGTTATCTGCGTTGTCAAGTGTGGTGTTTTTCGTGCTCTGCTTGTTTAGTAAGTCCCCATTTGGTATACCTGGTAAGGAGAATATTTGATCCATTTGAAAACTTTGTCATGTCCTTCACCTTATAATACATACCTCTAATCCTTTTATAAATAAATGTTTTTTGAATCTTATGGTGATAAAACCGGGTGTGTCTATTATTAGAAGGTGGCATTGTGGAATACATAATTCTGGTAGCATTTGGGTCTGAAATCCTGTTTACATGTAATGGCATTTCATCGATTATGCTTATTGTTGGAAGTCACGTGCTTATCAGCGTTCTTTGAATGTTTTTATTCGCTATGCTCTGTTGCTTATATACCTTGCTTATTTTAGGTTTTACCAAATACAATTTAGTAGCCAAGACTCTGTGATTAGATTGTATAACATATCTAATTAGATAGATTGCCCTTACTGAGGCAGGCCTGTTGCCTCAACGCTGATACGTCTCTAGTCTATTTGATACAGTTTGATCTTGTTTCACAAAAAGTCTCTCTTTTGCTGCTTTGCCTTGTGCTACCTTCGTTTCTGTAGTCTGTGGCCTTCTTTGAATATGGATAATTTCCTGGTACCTTCCATTTAGTTGACTGTGTAACTCTTATATTGTGTTTTGCTGGGTCGATTATGAATTAGCTTTGACCGGCAAATTTATGATCTGAAAGTGAATCTAGCGACTAGAATTTTATTTGTGCCATGCTTATATGTTACTGTGCAGGGACACTGCAAAGTATCGTCCATTGATGAAAACAAACTTGGTCAGCCATTCGCTTAAGTACCTTACATTAACATATTTAGGGTAAGTCAACCCCCTCAATTCTCTTTTCATAGTCTTAAACTTGCTTCTAATTTTATTTTTTTTTTTTAATTAAAGCTACACTGTCTTTTTTTCTCTCCTGCTCTGTGCAACTCAAGTGTTATTACTTATGCTATACTGCTCCTGTCTGCATATGTTATAAGGATATGATTGTGTTTTGGCTTTACAGTTATGACATCCAGACAGGCACACATGACCCTTATGAAGACTGTGTTTCCGCGATGAGGTTGTACAAGAGAATTCGAGGCCAAGTTCATATGGAGGAAAACTCCAGAACATTTACTTCAAGTAACGTCACTGCCATTTCTGATTATTGGAAATCCAAGGAACTTGAGAACTCTACACCAGATGAACTCTTTGCCATGTCAAAGTCAGACTATAGATGCTGGTGTTTGGATTTGATGTAGGAAAATGAGAGCCTGAGCAAATGAGCTTTTGTCGTCCTGGAGATTATTTCGATGTGTGAATAACTATTCTAAAGTTGTGGGGATGCAAAATGAAAGGAAAGGGAAGGGTTGTGATGGAAAAGTTTATATATTGAAGGACTTGCTAATGTAATGAGATATAGTTCGTAGATTCATGGTGAATCTTCTTCTTTCCTACCCCTTATTATTATTGTTTTTCTGGTAAATCATTTTTTTTATTCATTTCACGCCTCTCTTGAAAGGGAATGCTCAAAGGAAAGAAAGAAAGCACATGTAACTGGCCCGATTCGTCTTTTTGTCCATTTATCTTAGGGAGCGTTTGTATCTCTCAAAGAAGTGCTTACATCAGCTGAGATAAAATTTTGTTACATTGAATCCCATGAAATTATTTCTAAAAAGCAAATCCTTAAGCGTAAATCAAAACAACTTTTCCACGAGAGATAAATTATGAGAATCGAATGATGATACATTTTGTTTGATTACAAGCTCATACTACCTTGTATTCTCAGTTTGGGCATGAAACGCGCAACTTGGCGATGAATCCTATTCGTTTAGCGTGCTGCTTTGGGATAGAATGATTCGTCCTTTGGGCATCAGCACGCTTGCCAGGGGGAAAGCGAAAAAGTGGATTTGCCATTTGGTCAGCCAATCCTCGGGTTTTATGACTTCATCTGTCCCATATTTTTATGTTATTTGCGTCATGCAGAGAGCGACCTTTGCTTGTAAATTCGATCTGTGAAACATGTTGTCATTGTCATGCTTGTGTAATAACTGCAAAAAAAAAAAAAAAACTTTTCATTTGTCAAATGTTTAATCAATGGCCGTTACTGGATAAGTTGAGACAAACAATGAGGGGGCAAAAGAATGAAATCAAAATTAGCATGGAATAAAGTTTCATGATTTCTTTTTTGACTCTTCAGTTAGATCTAAAACTGTAGCCCTTTTTTCCCCCAAAAAAAAAAAAGCATTCACAAGCACATTGTTTAAAAGAGCACAAGTTTGCACTTCAAAGAGAGAATATATCTTAAGATTACTAGCCTACAACACTTGTTCATGAAGTTTCCCAATGTGACGCTTTTTTTTTTTTTTGACAAAAGGACAAAATGATATTAAAATTAAAGAAGATTATGGTGTCCCAAATGATAAAGACCTACAAGATTCACAAGAAAATTTTAAAAAGAAGGGGAACTACTATAGAATTACAACTCTTAACACAAGATAAAAGTAAAAAAACATCTTTCCAAATTGGATGAGTAGAAGGAGTAGGTTTAGGTGGAATTCGTGATGAAACACTTTTGCACACAGTTCATAGTCAATGATTGTAGTATTTGATACACAAAGAAAGCCATTGGCATAATCAAAGAAAGATCTGACCCTTATAATTTCTGCTTCTCCATAGAAATTCTTGTGATGATGTTCCACTGACACTTATAACACAAATGTGGGATAATCTTTTTAAAATATCTTTATGTAATATTATATTGTATATTAGTTTGCAAGTTAGATAAATTAATTTTAAAAAGGATAATTATGATAAATAAATGGGAGAATCTGATAAAAAAGAAGTTTGAAATTACTGAATCTTAAATAAAAAATTCCTGTAAAATTGTGTAGTTATTTGCAAATTCAGTGTTGTCAAAACTTATTAAAGTATTATTACCAAACCTAGTGTGGAATTTAGTAATTTCAAGACTCTTTTTGTGTGATTCTCCCTAAATAAATTATATATCTTACATTTACAAGTTACAATTGGAGGAGTATTATATATATATATATAAAATAAGATTTGTTAATCTATGGGGAAAATGACATAAAAAGCAGTTAGAAATTGTAATATTCCAATTCAGGCATTTAAGGGTTCAAAATTTCAAAGAAGAAAGTGACGTTTGGTATGATATTTTATATATATAGTCAAATGACTAAAATACCCTTATGTCAGATTTTAAAAGTTATCAAATTTGTACATTTTTTGTTATTAGCTGTTTAACATTTGTTATTGTGATTTATAATTTATTAATAAATAATTTGTTATTGTTAATATATTTCTTATCATTTGCTGTTCAACAATTGTCATTATAAGTTCATAACTTATTAATACACTTTTTGATACAATGAATTAGACGTCATTTTCTACCCAAGTAGTGTCATTTTTTTTTACTGAAATTTTGACAACTTATGTACCTGAATTGAAATATTATAATTTCAACTTTTTTTAACGTCATTTTCCCTGATCTCTATTCTGTAGCCGCGTTACAGTTGCCTTGGTGTGGTAGTTGACCAATTCATAAAATGTCCTTTTTCTGGGATTTGGGCCTGGTGTATGTGTGTTTAACGGTATAATGTAAAAAAAAAATTGGTATGTAGATAAAATTTCGACACATTTTGTGCATTAAAAGGCATATTCAATTTTTTTTAATGCATATTCAATTTTTGGTGCATGAACTAATGGTATATTTGAAATCCATTACTGTAGTTTCACCCCTAAAAAATCCATTACTGTAGATAGAATAGAACCCAAATAGTTAGGCAGAAAATAAATATGATATTATTTTATGATTTTATTCTTTTTTAATCTCATTGATTTTATTCTAATTAAAGCATCCAGAACCCTTGTTTATTTGGCCAACCATGAACCTGTGCTTTCCCCCCCCCAGCATGAGCCTTTGTTTTACACCTATGAAATAAGTAAAATTATTCATGACTTTTCTTTTTCAATATACTCCCTCCGATTTTTATTATAAAATTTTCAGCATATTTTATAATATAATATATTTTATCTAAAATATTAAATTTTCACCAAATACTAATTAACAATAAATTTTTTTAATTAATCATCCAAATGTTTCTAACTAATAAATTGCAATAATTTTAATATTTTATAAGAAATTATTAATTTATATAAAATTATTATTAGGTATCTATAATAAAGATTGGTGAGAGTATGGGACAAATGTAGTGTTAGGGCACACGAACCCGTTAGAAAATATTCCACACACATTAGAATATATGGGGACATATATATAGAGACTCGAATGGAATATGGTTAGGATTTTGCTATGGGACAAATGGTTCGTCGTCCTAAAAAAGGCATAAAAATGGGAAGTAATAAGAATTGAGAGGAGCCAAAAAGAAAAGGGGCTTGAGCCGCCAATGGCGAAGAGGATTCTTAACAAACACGCGCCTCCGAGGATGACTTCTCCTTTTCAGTCAAAGTACATGCACACAGAGTTTCCATAGTATTTCACTTTGTTGAGAGCGTAGATTCTGTGTTATTGTCGCCCAGTGAATCGGTCAATTCGTATTCTGCCTCAGACAGAAGACGCGCATGGCGATCATCTGGGACGGCGTTCTGGAGCATACCAGGTCGGCTCAGGAAAAGAACACTGATCCTCTCCTCTGGGCGATTCACATCAACTCAGCCCTTAACGCCGCCGGTGTTTCTGTGCCTTCAGTCGAGCTCGCCGACTGTTTAGTCTCTTACATCTGTTGGGATAATCATGTGCCCATCACGTGGAAGTTTCTTGAGAAAGCCGCGACTATGAACATCGTCCCTCCTTTGTTCGTCGTCGCTCTTCTCTCTACCAGGTTCCTGCTTTGGCATCTCTCGTGTCGTTATCTAATTGACAGAATTTTTTTTTTGAAGTTTCTGATTTTTATTGTCATTATTACCGCTGAGTTGAGCATGTTTGTGCGTTGATGGATTAACGAGCTTGTGAAATTGTGTTGGCGCACGCCTTTATAGCTGAGCCTCTGTTTGAATTTTGTGGTTTTTCAACTCCTATTTCGCAACGGTGGCAAAACTCGCAAAGTATTGTTTTGCAAACATGTGCTGAGAACTGAGTAGAGAAACGCAACAATGAAGTGTCCGATTTCTCTTTCGTGTTTGCATGTATATTGTTTTTTGAATAATAATTATATGATTGATGTGACACACATATCAACTTGGGTTTCAAAATGTGTTAGAAAACTAGATATATACAATTTCGAATTAGGAAAAGATAGCGAATATGATTTTTACCTAGGTGACAGGTCCTTTTTGACTCCCTTGATTCTGATCAGCCATATCAACTTCGAAAATTAACTCATAGAATCCAAGATGCTTATCTAAAGATGAATATTGGTTGGTAACATTTGCTAAAAATGCAACAATAAAGTGTTTGATTTGTGAAGAGTTTTTCTAAAACATTTTTTCTAAATCTTAATTATTTAACTGTTTGTCAACAAGAACTACCCGCGATTACAAAAGCATAAATTATAAAGATGGATGGATAATTAGAGAAGTTAAAACAGCCATACCATATAACCCCAAGATCCTTGTCAAAAGCATCTGTGAGTTGTACAAATAACCGAAAAAAAGCCATATGTACAAATTTACAGCTTCTGCTGTTAAAAAAAAAAAAAATCCAAATCTCTAAAGCCACAAGCTTATAAAATTTTTGAATTGGCTCAAAGCATAATTATGTGGAGGATGACTGTATTCATGTAGAAAATAAAAATGGAGAAGGGAAACGTTGCTTCATGTACTCGTCAAATGGTTTATCTTTAGGTTAATAAATATTGTTATCATGAGGAGTGACTGGACAAGACATTCATTTGTATGTGTTGTATGATGTCTTGCCCCTTGCCTATGCTTCATATTCATGCATCTTTTGGTTGGAATTGGCTGCTATACCGCACTTTTGTTTGAGGACTATTTTGATATTCTTTCTTACTCTATTTTTATATTTTAAGTATTGATTCAAGTCATAATTGTCCCTTTTCTAGACCAAGAGATCTTTTTGGTTCAATTCAATACTGTCTTGTTCTCTAATGTTGTTAAACAAAAATGTGTTTTCCCTTATCCTCTCTGTCATGTAATTCCATGTGTATTGTTCTTTCTGCTTTATCGCCCATTGTGGTAGGATATTAGGGGCCCTGATGGGATAATTTTAACTAATCCAGCGAGGAATGTGATAATTTTCTAACCAGATGTCTTATTTACTTACAATCCCTGTTCCTCAAACAGAATTGTTGCATGACAAAAACCTTAGTTCACTGATTTTATTACTTTCCCCCACTGCTTAGCTGACATCTATTGCTCACTCTGAATTCTTGACTACAGGGTTGTTCCAAACAGACTGCTCCAACCTGCAGCTTACAGACTTTATATGTTGTTCCTCAAG